GAACTCAGGGCCTCAGGCATGCAAGGCAAGCGCTCTACCACTGAGCCACCTTCCCAGCCCGTCCCAAGGCCATTCTTAGTCAAGTTGAAATGGATGGCCTAACGAGGGCCACACATGATGGGATTGATTCTGAAGCAGGTGTCTTTATGGGGGTCTAGCATGATTGAGTATTAGTAATTTTCTACGGTTAAACGAATATTGATCATTAACAGTGTAAAATAACGAAGTATGAGACACGTGTGGTGGTTCATGCCTGTAATTCCCGCTACTCAGGAAGCTGAAGCAGGAGGACCTTGAGTTCAAGGCCAGCCAGAACAACATAGGTCTTGTCCCAAAATACATTAAAAAAAAACTATCAGCGATGTGGCACTTGTGTAGCATGCAGGAGATCTTGGGTTTTATCCTCTGTACTGAATTAAAAAAAATAAAACTACAGACACAAATAAACAGTGAGCTATGTCTTTAGCATGGCTAATTTTGAGACAGGGTCTCACGTTGGAGCCCAGGCTGCGCTCAAACTCACGATCTTCTATCTCAGCTTCCTAAATGCTGGGATTACAGGTGTGTATCGCCATTCCCAGCTACTCTCTCATCCTTATATCTTCATATTTCCTTCCTTGAGTCTGAACATTCCCAAGTCCCAGTCTCCTGAGTAGCTGGATTCAAGGAATGAGGAACCAGCCCCAGACTTCCTAAATTTCTCTACCTTCTCCACTGGGCCTGGCCCAATAGCAACTGAAATTGCTCTGTAGAACCTTTCAGTATCTGAATCTTAATAGAAAATATGCCATATATTCAGAAGCAGCACTGGACCACGCTTACCCTTTACATCTAGTATAGAACACTGCTTTCTTTTCACACAAGGTAATTCCTTTAAGTATTTTATGCAAAATAAACCATTTTAAATGCAGAGAGTGGCGTCTCTGAGAGAAAGAAGTGGTCAGTAATTTGGAATCCCCAAGTTTTGAGATTTGAGAAGGGCCCGCAAGGTTCGTTCATATCCCAAAGTTTACACACCTGGGAAACTGAGTCCCCTCAATTCCAGCGTGGGATGGAATTAATAACTAACAATTTGTGATAATTAACAATTAACTGATTTGTTCCAAAAAAATGAAGTATGAGACAGGTGCATGCCTGTAATCCCAGATACTGCCTCACCCTGTTAATGTTGAAAACGACAGGGTCATTTGAACACACGGGTATGTCCAGGGCTCAGCTCAGGAGCAGTGGTGGAGTAAATCCAGAGAACTGCTGAACATTAAAATAAGCACTCCTCAGAAAATGGCCTCCTAGCAGGAAAATTTAAAAATAACAACAACAACAACTCTGAAAGTTCATCGTATAAAAGCAAACCTTGTAAATATAACTACACTTCAAGGTAGGACTCCAGCAGCAGGAAGGCTCACAAGGAGAGGCAGACCTTTTCCAGGGAGCACCAGCTCCTCTGCAGGGAACTTCTAGCACCTGGGTCAACTTGCGCACAGCACAGTGTGTTTTTTCCTATGCGTGCACTCAGTGTCTGACACTCAATTTGTAAATGAAGCCCAGGAAGAGATGAATAAGAAGCACAAAGAACAATCCTAACAAGCCCTGTGAATGGGCTTTGCTGTCTCCCACTATCAAACCAGCCCATCTCACCACTGGACATGAACTGTTTCCTGCAGTAACCAAAAGCAAACCTGAGCTGGGGGTGTGACTCAGTGGTACAGCACCCACTCAGCCAGTGCAAGGCCCTAAGTTCAAATCCCAACATAGCAAAGAGAAAGGGAAAGGAAAGGAAAGAGAGAGAAAGCATCCTCAAAGAGGGACGACATCTATCAATGGTCAACAAACACATAAAAGGATTAGTCACCAGGGAAATGCAAATCAAAACCACAAGACCCTACCTCAGGCCCAGGAGGATAAGAGTAATTAACACAATAAAAGGAAAATAACCAGTGTTGGTAAGGATGTGGAGGAATTAGGACCTTCAAATAGTGCTAATGCCAAAGAAAACAGTTCCTCATCAGGTTAATCATAGAATTACCACGACTCAGGAATGCTACTCTTATGTATGGATCCCAAAAACCTAAAAACAGGTATTCCAACGAAAACATATACACAACTGTCCACAGCAGTACTTTCACAAAAGCCAGAGGGGAAAAACAACCCAACAGCTATCAGCTGACCAACAAATAAAATGCAACTTACACCTTCAATGGAGTATTATGCACCTCCCTCCCAAAGGAATGGAATGGATGCATGTTAAAACATGGCAGAATCTAGAAACTATTACATTGGATGAAAGAAACTAGAGACAGGAGGACAGTGTTTTATGATTCCATTTATATAAATGTCTAGAATAGGCCAATCCCAAGACAACGAGTGAATTAACCCATGTTAGAGATTAGGAGAGTTGGCGAGTGAGGGCTAAATGGACACGGGAGATGCAAGGGTTCTGAACCAGACAGGGGTGGTGGCTCTTGTGACCCTTAAGAATGTGCTCAGTGTCTTTGCTTTGGGCACTTTAAACGCTAAATTTCATGATATTGCTTTGTACAGCAGGCTGGCCTTGTTTCTTATGTAACCCAAGCTGGCCTTGAACTCCCAGTCTTACATCAGCCTCCTAAGAGCTGGGATTCTAGGAGTCTACAATCATACACAGCTTCTTGTTTATTAGGTAGCCTCCTACAATTAAAAGAAATGGAGGAAGTCTCCTGCCCCCACCCCAAGTGCAACAGGTGTGAACACAAATCATCAAAGGAAAGGGCTCAAGTTCTGGGGCTTGCTAGAATTCTGGCACCTCCCCCAGAGGCTCCAGGGCTGTCCCAAGCTGCAGATAAGATGCACTTGAACTTTTGTTCAGGAGGATCCCTGGTGCTCTGCCCGGCTCCACCCTAGCCCTTTCCCCCCCTCCTCTGCCTCCAGGTTCCAAGATGCAGTGGTGCAATCGTCTGAGCTGAGCCAGGAAACAGCTCCCATGGTGTCTGAGAACTTGGGGACCAGGGCCAGGTGTCTGCCAGCCTCTGACGAAGGAATTTTGGTCATATGGTTGTGATCTAGAAATGTCAGCAGCCTGGCGCTGATGGCGCACGTCTGTCATCCTAGCTACTCAGGAGGTTGAGATCTGAGGATTGTGGTTCAAAACTAGCCCAGGTAGGAAAATCCAGAGAGACTCCAAACCAGCAAAATGCTGCAAGTGGAAGTGTGGCTCAAGAGGTAGAGTGTCAGCCTCGAGCAAAAAATTTAAGCAAGGTATGAGGCTTTGAGTTCAAGCCATAGTATGAGAGAGAAAGAGAGAGAGAGAGGAGAGAGAGAACGCACAAGATTTAGTACACTACAGGTAGTCAAACAGCATACAAATATGGAGGAATGAATGAGTGAATGAATGAATGAACTCACAGACAGACAAGCAAATGTAATAAGGTAGCTATGTAGTCAAACATACTCAAATCTTTTTTTTTTTAATCACCGCATTCCTTTTCTAGAGCTCTCAATTATTCTAATTTTGAATTCCTGGCTTCTATGAATGGAGAAATAGGTTATTTTTTAAATGACGAGCAACATCGAAGGGTTTTTAGTTTTAGTGTTTTTTTTTTTTTGTTTTTTTTTTTTTAGAGGCTCATTTGAAATGCTGGTCTCCAAGAAAAGGACATACTTCTTTAAAAACGGCTGTTACCGGTCTGGCCAAGAACTACACAAGATTCCATACATACACTGTCAAGTTTGGCGAGGAGGGTTCAGGCAACTTCCAGCCTCCTCACCCAATCCCAAGTAAATAGGACATTTGTTTGTATTTCCAAAGGGCTGCGAGAATGAAAATTCCTCCTCCACCTAGGAAAAAACAATCTGTACCGCTCAGACCCAGAACACGGAGGGCAAAGTGTTAGGGCATGAATATATGGTTGAAGAAGAAGAAGGAGAAGGAGGAGAAAGAGGAGGAGAAGGAGGAGGAGAAGAGGAAGAAGAAGAGGAGGAAGAAGAGAGAAAAGTTTTTGGTTTTTTTTTTTAAGGAAAGGTTTCTCTTGTAGGAAACATTTCGACCTGGTTTGGTGTGTCTTCTAGGTGTTTCAGAAATTCAAGCTTTACAAAAACAAAGAAAAAAAAAATCAAAGAAACGATTTCTCCAGTAAAACGGTGGAGCCAGGAGGTGTTTTCTTCCTCTCTTCGGTCCAGCAAAGACCGAGGGACGGAGGAAAACCACAGACAAACACCAGTATCCTCCATGCAACGCGGCTTCTCCGCGTAGAACGCGGTCGGTCGAGGCAAAGAGTTTAAAAAGAGCTCGTCCCTGCGGTGCAGGGGTGCGGGGCGCGCAAAGGCTGGATGCTTGCATTTCGGCTGGCGTGAAACAATACTGGGAAAGTCCAGGGCCTCCGAGAGAGACTGGGATTTATCCTTTATTAGCCACATTTTCTTCCCTTTTAATCCCTCCTGCCCCGGGATCTCACACATCCCCGTGATCCAATTACCTGGGGGAGGAGGGGGGTCGGGACCTCGGGCCCAGCAGGTGCCTGCGGACACCCCAGCGACGCGGCCCAGGCCCCGTGGGGGTCCCCGACACCCCAGCGACGCGGCCCAGGCCCGTCCCCGACACCCCCAGCGATGTGACCCCAGGCCCCGTGGGGATCCCCGACACCCCCCGCCGACCTGAGTCAGATCCTGTGGGGGTTCCTGTTCCCCTCGCCGGCTCCGGGGAGGGAGCGCGGAGTTGGGGGGGCGGTGGATGGGAGCCCCAAGTTGATAAGAAAGCATGCCGCCAACGCCGCGCCGCGGAGGGAGCCCCGCCACCCCCTCCCCGGCTCCCGGCCCCGCGCCTCCCAAGGGGGGTCACCCGGCGGCCTCGCGCTCGGCGACCTCGGCCGCCTCAGGGTGGCACAGGGGGGCCCCCAACTTCAGACGGAGAGCCGGCGCGGAGGAGAGGGATCGCGAGGAGAACCGGACAGCGGCCGCGCCCCCCGCGCCCGCGCCCACCTCGCCGGGACGCCGCCCGGGGTCCGAAGGACCCAACTTGAACTCACCCGGTACGGGGGGGGGGGGTCTCCTTCCCGGGAAGGCAGGTGTCCACGCGGCCCGCGGCCCGAGCGCTCGCGCCGCCCGCCGTCAGCCTGCGACTCAGCGAGCCGGAGAGACCGTCCCGGGCCGGCCCGCCGCCGGCGCGCTCCACCCGGGCCGGCGCGCTCCCGACCCGCCGCGCTCCCGACCCGCCGCGCGCGCCTCTACCCGCGCTCCTGAGCCAGCGCGCCCTTCCCGCGTGAGCCCGTCCCTGCGCGCTCTCGGCCCAGCGCTCCCCCTTGCGGCCGTGCGCGCGCCCCCTAGCTTGGGAATTCCGTCTCCCCCCCCCCCCCCCCCCCCGGCACGCGCTGCTCGTGCCCGCGACACCTAACCGGCCTCGCGGGACGCCTGGAAGGGGTCCTGGTTCCAGGTGGGAGTTTCGGCATTACTCTATTTTCGTATTACTCTGTTTTGTTTATGACAGACTCTCACTATGCAGCCCTGGTTGGCCTTGAACTTCCAATCCTCCTGCCTCTGCTTCCAGAGTGCTGGGATCACATACATGTACCACTTGGCCACACTGGAGAGATGATTACTTTTTTGTTGTTCGATGGTAACAGTAACAGCCATTTATTGAACAGTAATATTCTCAGAGAGGGCTTATTACGGACAGACATTTGTTTCCTCGGGTTCCTTTTCAATCATCAAACAATCTTTTTTTACCACTTAGTTTTGTTCTTTTTTTAAATTGGACACATTAATCCATGTTTGTGGGCCATGTATATAATCGTGTAGCTTCCATCTAAGGGTGAGCCTATAGATCTCTGTCAGCATTTCATGATTTCTGTGAGATGGACGTATTCAAACCCTGTTTCTACCTTTTTTTTTTTTTTTTAATCCTCTTGAGTTTTTATCTTTGTTTTTCAGGGTGGGAAAAATTAGGGTCCTGAGAGCTGGAAAAAATTCCTTCAAGAGCTTTTTGATCTTACCGTGTTCATTTTTTTTTTTTTTTTTCTGGCTATCACTGGAAATATCTAAGGCTAATAGCTACTTGGGGAAGACTTTGTAAGTGGGTGGCAGTTAATATTACCTTGTTACCAGTTGTTTTCCAGGAGGCAAACTACTGGCTAGGGAGACAGAGGTTGTGAAGTCTTATAAATTGAAGGGTTTGTGATCTACCCAAGTGCCTGCCATTCTATCAATTTTGATTCTCAGAGTTTTCCCATTTCTCAGAAAGCTGAGGAAGGAAGTAGATGACAGTACAGTACAGTGTCACTGGTCATTATCACTGGCAGCTTGCAGGACTGAGCCCACTTCCCAGTCTTGAGGTCACTTTTCTGCCCTCCCAAGAAGAGATACCTGCCTGATCAAAGGAAAGCCTACTTTTTCTCTAATAACACACTGGCCTCACCTTACTCCCTGCATCTCTAATTAATGTTTACAAAGTGCTTTAATCTACCCAATATGGTAGTTAATTAGGCAAGCATTATTATCCCCTTCTTTCTGAATCAAGTCCAGGAGAAAATCAGTTCCGATCCTCACCAGTCCCCTGGCAAATAGAACAATAAATTTTTTGGTTATGTTATTTTTTTCTCATATTTTCATCCCATATTGTGTTAAATACAAATGCATTTATCATGGGGTAATTTAAGTAAATAATAGTAAACACTATGGGTGAAAAGTAATATAGGTAACCATATCTTTAAAGAAGTCAGATAAAGGAGAGGAAAAAAAACAATTTTGGTTCAATCCTCAGTAATAATAATAATATTTTGATATGTGTGATTCCTGGATTGTGTCTCCTGTTTTGCTTTGTTAGGATTTTATGGCTGCCATTTCTCTCAGGTGGATAAGAAAAGAAGAAGATATTGAAGGATGATGGGATTAGGAGTAAAAGAGAGAGAAAAAGACAAAGGGGACAGGCCGCAAGGAATGGGGAAGGAACAGAATTTGAGCTCAGAAGCATCAGGGGGAAATGAGGCCGCCCTGTAGCATTAGCCAGATCCTTGTAGACATTACACTTAGCTGGTATAGACCTAGCCAGGGACCCAGCTTAACTAAACTGAGCATGGACTGGCTTCTAGCCCCTATATCTGTCAAGGCCTGAATACCAACTAGCTATGAGGGACCCCATAGTAGTAAAGAACACATGGAGAAGTTTAAAAAAAAAAAAAAAGGATTAGAGGGAATCTTTTTTTTGGTCCGGTTGTGGAGCCTGAACTCTGGGCCTGGGCACTGTCCCTCAGCTCTTCAGCTCAAGGCTAGCGCTCTACCACTTGAGCCACAGCGCCACTTCCGGCTTTTTTCTTTTTGCTTATGTGGTGCTGAGGAATCAAACCCAGGGCCTCAGGCATGCAAGGCAAGTGCTCTACCACTGAGCCACCTTCCCAGCCCCTAGAGGGAATCTTAAAGACAGTTATTCAGATAAGTAATGTCTAGGGGTTGAGGGGGGGAGAAAGAAAAATAACAAACAAAGATACAAAAAATGGAGATCTTATTGTACAGTGTTGTTACTGCATTAAAACTCAAGTCTGGCTGGGTGTGATGGTACATGTTCACAATCCCACCATTCTAGAGGCTAATGTAGGAGGATTGGGAGTTCAAATCTAGCTTGGGCTACAGAGTGAGACCCTTTCTCAAAACTAAATAAACGAGTAAATAAAATTTAAAAATAGCCAAGTGTCCGTGGCTCACATCTATAAACCTAGCTACTCAAGAGGCTGAGATCTGGGAATCATGTTCAAAGCCACTGGAGTAGAAACGTCCACGAGACTCTTACCTCCCATTAACCACTAAAAAGAAAGCTGGAAGTAGATCTATGGCTCAAGTGGTAGAGCGCTAGGCTTGAGCAGAAAAAGTTCAGAGATAGCACCCAGGCCTTGAGTTCAAGCCTCAGAACCAGCACAAAATAAAATAAAATAAATGAAAAAAAATTAAAATTAAGACAAAAGACAGACTCATGAAATTTATAAAGTTTCATTTGATTTTTTTTTTTAAATCTCTAGTCTGAGGATGGAACCTAGACTCTCACATATGCTAGGCAAGTGCTCTATCACAGAGCTAACCTTCCCTCACCCAAGGTTCTATTTGACTTTAATAAAATTAATGTGGCAGCAACGGTCGTCTTTGCTAATTACATGACCATCATGTGTGCTATAGTTGGTTCTAAAATGTCCTACAAAAGTCATGTATTAAAGTCTTAGTCACCAGCCTGAGAGACTAGTGGAAGGTAGTGGCCCCTTTCAGAGGTGGGGTCTACTAGGAGGAAGTGAGGTCGGGAGGTGGGCCCACCGTTGGGGTTGGTATTGGGCCCACCTCTTCCTGTCTCTCTTTGCTTCCTGTCAGCCATGAGGTTGTGTGTCCTCTGTCACCTTAAGGCACTGTCTCCCAAAGGCCCCAGACCAAGTGGCCTATTGCTACCTGCTAAGGACTGAAACCTCCAGACGGTGAGCTCCAAACCCACCATGTCCCTTAAATGAAATATTTCAAATATTTTGTTGCTATAATAGAAAGTTTGATACAGTATGTGGATCCTCAATATGAGACAATTCGTAGGTACTTTATGAACATTAACAATTTACAAGTATGCCAAGACATTACACTAAATGTGTTTGTACTTCGAAAGGAAAAACAGTCATGTGCCCCATAATGATACTTCAGTCGGTAATGAACACATAAACCAGGCAGACATGGTAGCAGATGCCTGTAATCTCTGTTAAGGAGGCCTTGAGTAACACGCTCAAGGCCCTGAGTTCCATTTCAAGCACCAAAAACAAAACAAAAAAATGATGGGAGATGAGAGAAGAGGTTGGCATGTTGATGTACATCAATAATCCCCCTGAGTGGGAGAGTGGGCTGGGAGGTCATGAATTAGGGTATCTAGTAAGACCCTGTCTCAAAACAAAGAAAAGGCCTTATATATTATTATGAGGGCAGCAAAGAATACTACAAAATTATATGTAAATTATGATGTCGGCTTTGGACAATGAATTTCTTTCTTTTTTTCTTTTTTCTTTTGTTTTTTTGCTGGTCATGGAGCTTGGACTCTGGGCCTGGGCGCTATCCCTCAGCTATTCAGCTCAAGGTTAGCATTCTACACTTGAGCTACAGTGCCACTTCCGGTTTTCTGGTGGTTTATTGGAGGTTGGAGTCTCACGGACTTTCCTGCCCCGGATGGTTTTGAACCATGATCCTCAGATCTCAACCTTCTGAGTAGCGAGGATTATAGGCAGGAGCCACCAGCAACCGGCTTTAGATAATATATTTCTTATGTATGATGACATTAGAAGGAAGTACATCAGAAAGATCACAGATATGCTTTTTGGCTGTGATTATGTCTGGCTTTGTTAATTAGCATCAATTGTTGAATAGGTCTCCATTTTGACATGTTCATATATATAATATATATAATATGTAATATATAATGTGTTCAATGTACTTTGATCAGACCCACCCCACCCAATACTACCCTCCTGCCCCTCCCCTAGCCAATCTTTACCAACTTTTGTTCCATTTTCACATGTGTACATAAAGTATTTGGGTCATCTGCACACTCTCCATTTACCTAGCTCCCTTCTACTAAAACTTGGACTGTGATTCTTAAAGTAGTATATATGTTCTAAATGTTCTGTTGTGACTATATTGCTTTTGCAATGAACAGAACCTGCCAAAGCTTAGCTGTCTAGCGATCTCAAACTTCCATGGGCATTGTTAGAAGGAAGATGGATGCACTTAAAAAAAAAAAAATCAGGTGCCTGTCCCTGTGGCTCACACACGAGAGGTGGCTCACAAGAGGCTGAGATCTGAGGATTGTGGTTCAAAGCCAGTCTGGGCAGGAAAGTCCATGAGACTCAGAAAACTGGAAGTGGCATTGTGGCTCAAGAGATAGAGCGCTTGCCTTGAGCTGAAGAGCTAAGGGACAGTGCTCAGGCCCAGAGTTCAAGCCCCAAGACCGACCAAAAAATAAAAATCAGGCTATTTATTCTCCTTCTAAAAATGAGGAAATACAACCTGGAAACTTTTGTATGACAAGTTTAGAATAATACAAAATGGAATTGAAAGTAAGGAGACTGGGTCTAAGCAAAAGGCCTTAACAATAGAGGATGTTCTTTAAAATGTGTTTTAAGTTGGTAAGTTCCTGAAAA